ATAGCTGGCATAAATTCTAAGTACGTAGCTGACTAGGATAATACGTCTCAAACAGATTCGTGCTTATCGACCTTTCCAAACCCCAAACAAACATCTGCTTGCATGGACAAAAATCACCTAAAATCAGAAGTTACACCTTTCCACCACCTCTGCGTAGAAGCGTAATGCACGGCGCACACTCGGACCAAATCGATCGATGATAACCAAATCATGCTTTGACTCAGCTCAACGGGAATATGCATCTTGGAAGCATATTGAAGTTCACGAATGAGTATCCTTACAATTCACGAAGGAGTCGATCTTTTGTGTGGCTAATAACCTCGCGCGAGGATGACCCATCTAAAATATCTTCTAGACTAGGGGATTTTCAGGAGCACTGTGGAGCTTGTTGGAAAGAGGAAATATAAATGTTTGGCGTTCTGAGGGGGTTTTTAGTTCTGCAAAAGATTGCGATTGAAAGGAGTTATACTTGGTTGAAGCATAAAAACCTGCCCCGACTTATCCCTAACCCATCCGAAATATTTCATGAACGGGGGAAGATACAGATTAGGAGTAGGTAGAAAACGGAACAATACAGAGATGACGTTGACATGTTGTCTTCCGTTTCCCAAGAGGAGAGGAGAGGAGAAGCGGGTCGTAGTGGGACATCGTTTCGGGGGAGGGGTCGTATAGCACTATCATTTCCCCACATCGCGATGCTGTACCCTGGCTGCAACTGCTCCGATCCGTTGCCTCAGCTTAACGCGGTCGCGAATAGCGTGCTCCACTGCTACTGACTACGGTATATCGGCCCTTTAACTGATTAATCGATGGGAAGTCTCGCTGCGCAGAAATTGTTGTGAAGCCTTAATGTATGGATGTTACTCGGGTTTAATCGTTGAATATGTTTCTCATTATAAAACGAACAACAACTAACAACTTATTTTGCCATTTTTAGTGATAAAGCCTTCCTCTATGGGAGAAGTAGGGGAGATTTCAGATGAGGTGGTCGTTCAGGAGACGACTAGCAATCAGGTGCGTATAGAGGCTTATTTGTGCCAGATTTCTTGCAGATATTTTGCTCGATTTTGTTCCTATGACTATTTTATTTGCTTAAGGATATTCCCACAGCTAGTGGGTCGGGTATGGCTTCTGTAGAACGAATTGATTTAGGTATGAATACGCTTTTCTGATAATAGTATTTGAAAGATCTTTGTAGAGTTTAATAATCATTCACTTGCAGATGGGTACGTAATCAAATACAAAGAACCGGCGCCTATTATTTGGACGCCATTTAGCAGGTTCGTTATTATTCGGTACCTTGGCCTCGTTTTTGCTGTTTTTTTCTTCTGCTTTTCATTTCGTTTTTCGCGAAATTGGTGCTATTGAACTATTACTGCCCGAAAACTCAGCAGCTTTTCTGCTAAAACTTCGCCTATCGGGTGATGTGCTTCCCTGTACACGAATTTTACATTCGTTTGTGCGTGGGCGCCACTTTGGCTCTACCAGCTTTTCACTAAATCGATAGAGCTTGCCTGACAGGGTTTTTCGACGCCCTAGTCACGAATATGGCATTCATTCTGCGACAATAGTGCCATTTAGCGCTCTGCTAAGGCTGTCTGGGAGTAGTGATTCCCTTCCCGTCGGTTCCGCCTTAGAGAGCGCAGATGATCAGACTGTCCTACATTAGCGCCGGCGCCAAGGGTGGAATACCATATTCGTGATCAAGACGGCAAATAACTTCAACATGAAGGATCAAACGAGTAGGTTGGTAAGGCGCTCTGCTAGCGCTAAATGGTGCCGACACTGAAAAACGAATTTCATAAGAGCATCGGTTTCATCGACTTTGGTGAAAAGACTGGCACCAAATGAAAGCAGTGTGAGAAAAATGTCTGGCACTATTGAACTATTCCTACCCCAGAACACTCAAAAATTTTTTTCGCTGAAACGTTGCCTATAGATGTAATTCGATGCGCTGATCACGAATATAACATCCGTTTCGAGCGCTGGCGTCATTTGGCGCCATTATGCGCCAATTTGGCGCCCACCACTTTTTTCACCAAAGTTGATGAAAACTTGCATATGGGGGTTAATTGAGGTCCTGATTACGAATATCACACTGGTTTCAAGCGCTGGCGCCACTGGGTGCCATTATGGCGCCAAATTGGCGCATAATGGCGCCAAATGACGCCAGCGCTCGAAACGGATGTTATATTCGTGATCAGCGCATCGAATTACATCTATAGGCAACGTTTCAGCGAAAAATTTTTTGAGTTTCTGGGGTAGGAATAGTTCAATAGTGCCAAATGTCTTTTTGTGATAATGCCACAAATTAGCTTTCATAGGCAATGTTTCACTTCTAAAACATTTCGAGACTTTGGGGAGTAATAGTTCAGTAGTAACCAGAAAATTTCCTGCTTCATCTTTCTTATTCTAGTAACTCATGGCGTACACGATTGGAACGGGTTAAGAAATAATCTAGCTAGGAGTGGTTCCAATACGGTTGAGGTATGTGTTCTTTGTTGTATTAGTAGCATATTTCATTCATTTTCAAACAACACATATTGGGCAGCTAATGGGAAAAAATTGGCGCTCGTGTAGTATGGGTCCGTGGTTGAGTACGAAATGGCTTTTTACGTGAGCCTTAGAAGGCGTATATAGCTTCAAGATGGGTGGAAGTGGCTTTTTTCATGAAATGACGAGCCCCAGTACGGGACTTAGTTCACCCGTATAAGAGCTCCTCACAGGCTTCGGCAATAGTCGTCACTTTTTTGGCTCTCGCTTGTTTCTCACACCTTCCTTCCTTTTTACATTTGAAAAAACAAGCCAGAGAATTGGTGAACTCATGAAAAACTTCTTGAAATTGGTAAGGCTCGAAGTTTCACAGCTCATCTTCAACACGTAATCTGTCCGATGCGGTTCTTTGCTACACCTGTGTCAGAGGATATTCTCAGTAATGATGTGTTCATACTTCGCGGCTGGTGCCACTCAGTCGCGCTGTTTGCGCGAATCGCCCGCTTTATCGCTCTGTATGAAGTATGAACGCGGGTGAATGCTTCTTTTACCTTGCCATGCATGTTGGTGGTTGTAGCACCGAACTGCTTCAGTTTTCTTCTTTCTTTCATTTATCCTTAGAGAGATTTTTCCAGCCATCGAGCTCAGGAGTTCCGAGGAGGTATGCGTATGCGTATCAAAGCCGGTTTCGTTATCCTAGTCCAGAAATTATTCCCAAGATTGAACCTCAGGATCTGTTAGAAATCGCTGGAAGTACTGCACAGACGGTAGGTGATGAATACAGAGATTGTTTTAAGGTCTCTCTGGGCTATCTTTGGGGCACATTAGCTCAGAGGATTATTGCGTAAGAACTCAAAAAGCTCCAGAGAAACTCGCAGTCACTTGTTTTTCGAATATTTTATTGGCTAGCAACCCTCGGCGGGCCCAGAACCTGCCCTACTTACCTCGGTGTAACATAGCTGCGGAAGCACGCCGTGCGGAATGCGGACTCTGGTCGCTGACGTAAGTGCTCGGCACCGAAATATTCGCAAAATCATCAGGGACTCTTGAGATCTTGTACAGTCAGTTCTCCTGCTGAGACCCCGGACAGCACGGTATAAGGACGAAACTTTCATTGATTTTCTCTCATATTTCCTTTCCAGTTCAAAGACATCAACGCTGCGATGAAGAAACGTGAAGATGCCAAGAATGCGTACAAAAAAAGCAGGAAGTCTTCTTCTGCAGTTGAGCCACCAGCCCCTGTCGAGAAGCAAACTTCCGCGAAGAAGAGGGGTAGGGAACGAGATGAAAAATCGCAGTCAAAGGAAAGTTCACGTACGAAACAGTCGAGAAGGAAATTCTGAAACAGTGAGAAGCTCGAAGTCAGCCAAAAGGCCGCCAAAGAAAAGGAAAAAACGAAGTCTCCAGAGAGAAAGGTGACTTGATTTTTTTAAAATTCATGTCAGTATAAAGTATTCCACGATGTTAATGTAGGCTCGAAAAACCTCAATTGACAGTCCAAAATGAGGTTCGTGTGGTGCTTCATGTTCTCCTACGTCTTAACTTAGGCGTTTCGCGCTTCATCGCGCTGCAATTGTTTCCGCGTAATGATTCCATTAGAGGGTGCTTGTTGGCCCGAAATGGGACGCAGTGAGGCACCGAACCATTTTAACGCCAGAGATATGCGATACCACTTTGTCAGTCCAAATTCCTCGCGAAGTGTACCAAACTGAGACTTTTTTACCTGTCTTTGCGTCGCAATAGCCATTGAAAGCGGTGTCGATTGGTCGTGCTTTTCTGGAACAAGCCCCAGACAACATCTGCCGAATTTGGCGCAGTTTGGTTCGGGGGGGGGGGGGCGGCGTAGTCATTGAACTTGTTCAGGCCACATTCTGGAGACGTGTCGATTCCTGTGACCAAAGTAGCTCACTTGAACAATTTCGCTGCTTGACAGAGTTTACAGGTCCAAGCAAAGTGATTGGTTAACGTGAAATAACAAGGGGAAACTGCCAAATTAAAAAAAAATGTCTCTCCAAGCCGAACATCGCCTCAAATCATTCATGTAGCTCGAGCTTCTTTTTTGGGGAAGCTGCCTGGAAACGTATGAAACTAAGATATGCTAGTATAATGATTGCATTTTATTCGAAAAGTCGTAGGATGAGAAGGGACAAATGCTAAATTGAAACCTCTGGCGAACACCTTGATGAAATTTGACCAACTATATTCGAAGATTTGAAGTGAATATTGCTTTATTCGAGAATGATTACCAGAAATGCACTTTTCCTATCATTTTTTAGCAAACCCAGTTTATTTAATATTTTTCATGAAAAAAACTGAAGGAATGAAATTAAATTTCGTTGTGATGGTGGCTAGTGGCGTAGTGTTCATGAATAACTTGACGTTGCTTGCCAAGTAATGGCATACCGAATGTCAGCAAGGTGGAACCTTGGATGTTATTGATGCTTTAATGAACAGTACAATTTCAGGAAAATGGAGGAAGGTCAAGTTCCAGAACCAGTACAAAGCGGAGCGTTTCATCGTCTCCAGGTGAGTGGTTTTTTTTACACATATTTTATTCATCTGATATTAGCAAAGTAGCTTATCGCTAGTTTCTGGGAGCAGAGTTCACTATTCAAACGTTTAATTAATTAGCTTTTATGAGCTCTGTTTTCATACTTCTTTCATGTTTATAGCCGCTTTTTTTTATAGAGCCACCGTCCAGAGTTCACGACGACGAGCAACGATCTTCTAAGAAGCGTAAGGTTGGTAACTTATTGTCATTGTGGAGCGGGTGCAACTACGATCCTCGAGCAAACTTCCTCTGTAACAAGTTTCAGATATTTTTCTTGCTGGAGAACATATGCTCCTTGGAAGTAGTTCGAGTTGCTTTTGGTGCCTAAATACAATTTCGGCCTTACTTTATGCAAATTGAGCCAGTTTTTCATGAAATTTTGTGTTAAGCCGATTAGTGTGTGCGTTTGTCGTCTATGAAGATGGCCCAAGTACCGCTTGAGCTGTGTTCTTCAAACCGCATTAGTTTCCACTGGCATGTCACATAACCAGAAGGCATGAGCCGTGTTCTGGGGAGGCTTCGTTCAGACTTTGTGATGACGCACGTCTAAGCGACACACCGCGCTATTGCAATACTCAGTGCTACGGACAGAAACGCAGACATAGCGAGGTATTGATCGGCCGCGACCGTTACTGATTCGAAAGAGTATAGGAGAATAGGGAGGTAGGCGTTGTCTAATCACACCATTTCCAATCCTTCCGTATTCCCCCAAAATACTAGCAGTCGGCGCCGAAACGATGTCCACATATGATTGCTTTTCCATTTATATCTAAGACGCTTTTACGGCTGCGTTCACCAGCTGCCCGCTGCGTTCAGGAGAAGAGTATTGGCAAGTAGAAGGGTAAGGACTGCGGGTAGGGATGAGGAAGCAGGACAACACGAAGGAGGGTCTTCGGGTAACTGCTAAAACACAGAATCATCTGCTCAAAGTTATTTATTTACTGCAGTGAATATCGTATATTGTCTATCCAATTCAGCGCTCAATGATTTTTTTTAGGAAAAGTCAGCGTCGACCAAGTCAACATCGACCAATATCAAAGGATGGACTTACGAGCAAATTTTCAAGCATTTCAATCTGAGAGAGTTTACGATTGACATTTCGGATTTCCCTCATCATGAACTTCAGGCGTCAACGAGTTCTCAAGGTATATTCGCTGTCCATCCTTTTAAGGTTGCTGTCATGATATTGCTAAGTTTTTTTTAAGAAGCTGTAGTGCCTCCGAAAGAGGAAACTGACGAAGTGGAGAATGCAAAGGAGAAAGAAGAACCTGAAGAAGAAGTAACAAAAGAGAAAGAAAAAGAAAATATTGAAATGGAGACTGAAGACCATAAAAGCAGGAAACGAAAACGTTCCGTTTCGTCGTCTTCATCGTGCTCATGCGCTTCATCTGCTGGAGGGGACAAGGACAATCACTCGTAAGCAATGTCATCGTGATTTAGAGAGGGTTTTCGGCTCCTTTAACCGCGGTCATGTAAAGAGCCTTATTATTAGGTTGTTCGAAAAGTAATGCGACACTTTGACCAAATTTTTCGGACTAAATTTTCCGTCACTAAAAGACATCTCCAATCTACAAGGTAACCGCAGTTGATGACTAGGACTAGTGCCCTTCTTTTGCACAGCTTCTCATTTCCATTCTCATAGAACTACGGCAACTATGATAAAAGAAGAGGTGGACCTCATTCTCGAGTTGAGGTCGATTTTCGGAATTTTTGCTTTTTAAAGGATGCGATAGGGACCAAAGGAGGTGGTAATTAGAGGCTGCTAACTTTGTTAAATAACCTGGGTACGGTCGCATTCTCTGATCGAAATCCATGATCTTTTTAGCCTGATCCCCACATGCGGTCTTCGCATTGCCGAGTAGTAGAGAAAAATTGAGTATTTCTGAATGAATTCAAGCGTGACGTCATCCATATTTTGAAGTCGATTAAGGTGGACTGTGGTCCTTACAACGGTGCTGGTATCCAGTGATACCGCTTTGAAGTCCCACCAATAACACTGAAATTGTCTTTATCATCTTTTTTGCTCCAGCTCATCTACTTTTCTGTTTGAGAGATCCTGCGAGGGACATGTGCATGATGTACGCAAGGACTCCAACACTCGCTACCAACCACAAGATCTCACAAAAGTTCTTTCGCTGTGTACAAGGAAAAGAAAACTCAGTCACGGTCATTCGGTATGACTTGTCAGACGGGTCCAACTCATGAGGCATCCTTCACAAAAATTTTTTCCGATAACCGAGATTGCGGAGAAGCATGGCAGTTGTCAGTCAGGTGGAGCCTAGAGAGGTTGCCAACTTACTGGTGGTTACGTTCGGCTGCGCCTCAAGAAGCTTGAGTAAAGGGCCGTCATTCTGTGCTGGTGGGCGACCTATACATTGCCTAACTACGAGTTAAATAAGTCCAGCCTGGAAGCGCTGATGCAAAAGCTACCCTCTGCATGGCAAGCGATATCCTTCCTCAAGACAACGTAAGTGTTAGCTTCCTCGACTACGGCGGAGTGGCCCTACAGGAACTCATAATATGGGATAGGTCGAAAAGTACCTCGATCTCTGAGGGACTTTTAAGCTTTGAGAAACTTCCACAAAGTCATGATATATTTATTGTTCATTCTAATACTAGGGGAACATCGGCTAAGATTTCAACCGCTGTCGCTAGGTCCAAACCCAGGTCTCAGTTTTTCTCCAACAGAGTTCGCTCTAGCTATAATCTACTCTTACGCCGCAATCTCATCCTCCACGTTTTATCTTGTTTGTTTGTTCAATTTGGTTGTTTTGTATGTTTGTTTGTTGTTTCTTCCATCAAAATTACATGCATTTAAGCATGTCCATAAATAAATAAATAATATACCCATGTGCAGAAACCCCAGAGGACAGTCTCCACTAATCAGGGATAAAAACATCCAAAATGATTTTTGGTCTTTTTCTAGAACAATTCAATCAAAGTGTCGCAGGACTTTTCGAACAACCTAATAGAATCCCTTCTAAATAGATTTACCACTTTGAATTGGTTTATCAGCTTCGGAGGTGCTTCCCGTGCAAGCGGAGGCGGAAGTCCTCACCTATCCAGGACGCCTCCTGCCGCTGGGGAGAGTACGACCTCCAGACTTCCTTCTCTGGTTACACCGACACCTCATATGCCACCTACCATCCTCCTGGCTTTTCTTCCTGGCATTTTTCCAACCTTTCGAAAGAATTCCGCAGTTCCTCGTTTCTTCTATACTAAACTGCCATCGAACGTGGGGGGGGGGTAGACCGGCGCCAAATACTGTTTTCAACTATCGGAACTATTTGTATGGAAGTACGAATCTTGGGCCACAAACAAAGGTGAGGGGAGACAACTACAGGGCTTATTTCTCGAAGGGAAATACGACCCCCTCCTTCCACGCCGAGCTACTGCACTCCTCGCAGGGGATCCCTAAGGTACGAAGCGCCGTAAACTGCAGTCCTCAAATTCGAGGTTGTTAAAGCCGGAGTTCCTTTTCAAATCATTTTTAGCGCGAATGAATATTTGAATGTGACTGTTGAGCGATGATTGATTCATTGCATCCTTAGGCTTTGCCTCTTTGTATTAGGGAGTTTTCCGCTGGAGTTGGCCTTTTCGTCATTGCTTTCTTATAAATAAAGTCAAATTTAAGTTCCTCCCGTCCTCATTGACGAGAATAGAACGAAGGCAATGATTTCGCTCAATTTCCGTTTAAGGGCACGTGACCTTCACAGCTCCTTAGTATTTAGCACATGTTCAATTTTCGGACTCAGTGACTTTCCATTTTTAAAGAATTTTTGGCTGGTGGATGGAGTATTTTCCTCATTTTCAACGAATTTTCAGCACAATTCGGCTATGGGGGTCAGGCGATTGCACTTTTGTTCCTTCTCATCGGCGTGTCAAGTGGAGGCTTGTGAAATCTCGTGAAGCCACGAAACGTTTCCAGCCATAGTTTGTACAGACCACTTGTCAACACACCATGCGAATATCAACTTCTTAGAAGTTCACAGGTTTCACCAAAGTGAGGACCAGAACTAGTGACGCAGCGAAAGTGCAAAATGCCCCTCCCTCTCCGTCTCCGAAGTGCGCCGAATTTTCTTTTAATGCGTGATTTTATTCTCCGACTTGGCATCTGACAATGAGATGCGTTCTATAGATATGTTTGAGATCTCTACGGCAATAATTCTGAACGTCAGCGGCGCAACAGATGGCAGCGATAGTAATGGTTCTGCGCGTTTCTATTAATTCAGATGTTGTCAAACAGGATTATCCATAGAGCTAATTAATAGAATCAGCATCTGGCTTTACAGCGAGCATCTTTTACTGAATAAAGCTTGTACCTCTTAAATGAGCCCATTTCAAAAATTAGCGACTGATCGAGATACGAAAAAACTAAGGCTGTATAAATTTAGGTCGGATGATCGGGAAAGTGAGAAGAATGTGCAAACGAAGAGCATTACGAAGAAAAAGGCACATAGCGAGAGGTATGGTTTAGAAGTGGCTTGTTTTTTTTAATTTATGTTTCTGTAACCACGAGCGGAGAAAACATTGAGTTTTTGCGCAGTAGTCACGGTTTAGAGGACAGAGGTTGCACGCCGTTTTTCACGGTAATTGGTTTTTTACACGTAACTGGCACCTCGCTCCAGGGCTACGTGGCTTAGTTGGATTCTGTCTGGAGTATCGTTAGATAAGGAATAGGCGAAATCGGCTAAGTGAATCATCAGGGCGTTTCCCTTTATTGCTACAGGTCCACTACTTGCAAAGGAACGGTCATTTTGTGGGCCTATCTACTGATCGTTTATGAGATGTCTTCGTCTAATCTGAAGTCGATTAAACGCATTTTTTTCATTCTTCACATAGTTTTTCCAAAGAGTACAAGTTCGAAGGGTTTGACCGGACTAAGCTATGCTGCGGCCTTTTTGCTACAAGCGAGCTGCGTTCTGTGGTATTCGCTTGCAGTTCGGCTGGCGCACAGGGCCTGCGTCAAACGGGTGAATCCTACGATGACTAATGTCCGGACCGTGAACACTTGACCCTTATTTTTTTCCTGATCGGCGTTCGGGTATCCGACTCCCACCACCCTACAGTCCCAGTGAGGGGGCGTGTAAAGCGGAAAACGGGTTGGCACGGCTCCGCACATGTTTTCCTCCACTAACTGAAACGAACAAGCGGCCAAACTGTATCATAACGTTCGTGTCAGCCGTTTTTCACCAATTGTTGTCGTCTACCTGTTTCAATACCGTTGGGGAATAGATTTGGCGCCGCGTCAAGCTCATACTGCCGGTAATTCTCCATCCGCAGCGAACAAGACTGTGTATCGTTTGCTGAGGCCATTGTCTCACATAGTTTCGGTACACACTGCAATTTTAGCCCCATGATCAACACTTATCAATGGTTATCACTGCTACCATTTCTCTTCATCTCCCGTGTCCACGTATTGCCCTCGATATAATTTTCGATACCGGTGCTTCAGTGATGATAGGACACTCGTTATGAGTTAGCTGGCACTTTTTAGTGTCCATTATCAGTTCTTATCAGCTATTGTCAGTTTATATCACTCAGTATTGTCGTTTGAACAGCTATGTCCCATGTTGTGACGAGCACCCTATTGTTGCTTGGAGGGGTCTGATTCTTACGACGCGCAGACAGGCGCATGAAGACATGCTTTGCAGGCTACATAAAGTAGAATTCTTGCTAGCTTGCTATTTCTACTTTTACTGCAGTTGTTGCTCAGGCCATGCGTGGAATGTGGTCGATGGCTGGATGATTGCGTGTTGGATTGGAAAGAGACACTTGGAGTGGGTTCCGTGTGGTGTTCTCGCGATTGCATCGAGCGGAGAGTGGCCAGAGCACACGAGGTAGTTATTCACTTCTGATTATTCTTCGCTTTTAGCTTGGTTTTTTCCTTGGCTGCTATATCACTACAAAACGTGCAGTCGTCATCCTCGCACTCGATTAGGCATTGTTCACACTCTGCGGTCCAGCGTTTCTCTGAAACGCGGCGGTTCGGCGAAAAGCTTTCGATACATATCGACTGGCGGTTGGGCGAAGAGCCTGGCGGTTGGGCGAAAGGGTTTTGGTACGTATCGACGGGCGTTTCGCCAAACCGCGACGTTTTTCGCCTTCGACAAAACGCTAGCTCCATCGCGGTGGCGTTTTTCGCCAGCGAAATCGATACACATCTACTGCTTTTCGCCCAACCGCCCAACCGCGGCGGTTGGACGGTTGGGCGATTCTCCGATCGATGACTATTTATTGCTTTTCTCCCAACCGCCGTTTCGTCAGGGCCTGGAGACTGTGAACAATGCCTTAGGCGGTCAAAGGGTCGCGACGCGGCTGCGGCGCGTCACGACCGCGGCGATCAGCTGTTTCCAGCCTGGTTAGCCATTTTCTCCCTAATTTTCACTGTTTTTGGCTGCTTTTCTTGAGGTTAGTTGTTCCTTGTCTTCACAAGGTAAATTATGATTGAGATTTCTCTAATTTTTGCGAACAATTAAACAATTTAACAAATGCATAAAAAATCGCTAAAGCAGTTCATTACAAAAACAAAAAAAATCCACGTCCTAATACACTTCATAAAGGCAATAACACAACTTACCTTGAAAAAAAATAGAAAATACAGTGAAAAAAGGGGAGAAAATGGCTAAACCAGGCTGGAAACAGTTGATCGCCGCGGTCGTGACGAGCCGCAGCCGCGTCGCGACCCTTTGGCCGCCTAATCAACTGCCTGGATGACGATTGTGAACACACTAAACTACGTAAACGTAGTCTACTGAATTATCTATGATTGAGGGAATGTTGCTCCATTACGGCTACCCTTTTTCTAAGTCTATATGGTTTGCTCTTTTCGTTTGTGCGTTATTTTTATGTGTATTTCATTAGGAACTCAAGGTACCTTTACTATATCCTGTAAGAGCTGTAACTTTCAGGTTTTGCCGGAGGATTATGGGGCCTTGACATTGCTACGTGGCGATGGTCAACTTTTAACGACCGGACCGACATTAGCAAATCTCGCTGAGTTCATTTACAAGTATCCGGAATATGAACCTGTTTTACCAGTGGCTAAGAAAAAGCAGCCACCAAAAACCGGTACGATCCTTGCATAGTTTCTAATGCTTGTATTCAAGTGTTTTTCTGATAGAATAGCATTTATTTTATTATTTTGTAACTGAAGTTAGTTTTAGATCAAGGCGGTGATTCGAAAAAATCAACTGCAAAACTTCTATCGAAAGATTCTGATCGAATTCGCTTCAACGTGAAGAGGGCGTTTTCAGATGCGTTAACGAAACGGTTAGTGATTTTTCTAGTACATTTTTCGGACCATTGGAAGAGTTTGAATGCTTATGTCAACGTATTGATAGCCTGCAGATATTTTGATTACTATCGCACTTTGCTTTATGCTTTTTTTGTGCACTTCGGCGACGGGGGGCATTTTGCCTTTTCGCTCTTTACATTGTTGTGTTCATTACTCTACAAGAGTTGGCAGGCGATCTCTACAAACTTCGGCTGCTATCGTTTCCACAAGATTTCATAAATCTCTACTTGGTGGCTTGACGCGACAGTGGGAATCAACGGAAATGCAGAGTGCCTTCCCTCCTCCCAATCTGCCCATGAGGTCTGCCCGATATCGGCTGTGCCGTACTGCTGAGACTGTCATTTTACCGAATACTGTAGGGGACTCACATACAGTCTCATGTGAGCGAAAATTTCTAGGAATTCGTTCAAATGATGGTTTTACTGGTTTGGAGAAAGATGTGGGCTCAGTCTCACAATGCTCACATCGGGGTGCGCCGTATTCTAAGTGACAACGTTGACCTTCCCTTAGTAGTGGAACCTGATAAATACGAAAATGGCGCTTGGCTTGGGAGGGGCATTTTGTTTTTTTGCTGGTTTTCTTTGCTAGATCCTGTTAAATTACGCGTCACACGGTGATGAGGCTTTTAAACTGCTTTCAAGTGCAAACGTGTAAACGAAGTTCCTGCTGCTGCATAGCTACACAGGAGTTTGCAAGTTCACAAGAGGCATAGGCAATGATCGTTGGGAACCAGCAAATGCCCCCATCAATCTGAACTGCGCTTGAAAAATCTTCAAACGAATCTTTCGTAAGGAGGGAAATAAAAACAGCAGTCATGCCTAAGGTGCTTAATTTAGTTGAAAATGTCATGAAAATGTCTATTTCTGACTAATGTGTTTAACGCTTTTAGTGCTAAAATGGACAAAGTGAAATCCGCCATCAAGTTGTGCAAGGACGTATCGGAAAATATTGAAGCTGCTCTTTTCAAATCGTGTCAATCCAATTTGAATTCACCTAAATACAAAACTTGGACGAAGACTTTCATAGAGAATGTGGCTGATTGCCGAAATAAGGTAGAGTGCCGTTTGTACCTTACTGATGAAGCAGATTTCTTGCTTAATTATGGTGGATGGGGTTGTTTCTATTAACTGAACCTTACCTGGCTCAGAGCTTCTACTACCGAGTTCTGACGGGAGTGATAACTGTGCAAAAGCTTGTCACACTAGAAGGTCCGGATATGCGGAAGCCGGAATATTCGGCTCCTCTCGACGGTTAGTTTTTTTTTTCAAGAAACTTGATCTCACGCACTATTTACCCGTTACTGCCCCCAGTTTTCGGAGTAACTCAGAACTGCGACTTTCCCAGGAACTAGCCCCCAGTGATAGTTTTCCTTCCTGTATACGACCAACACATCCGCTTGGCTTATTACTGCGTGGCGCCTACGCTACAGAAACTGGCGCCAACGTACCAACATACATATGTTTATATAAGGGGTAGTTAACCTACTGAACCCATATATCAGCGATTCCGGACCAAGCACATGATGTTTGGTCCGGAATCGCTTGAAGCGCGCGCCACAATTGGTGACCCCACATGCTTGTTTCGACTAGGGCGCTTGTTGCACGAACTCCCATCGCTTTTCTGCCGAGCGGTGTTCTATTATAGCAGGGGCACTACGAGGCAAGGCAGCGTCCCTTTTGGTTGCCTGTGGTAGTGGTCCTTCTCTTTGCTAAGGCACTGCTTTAGTAGACTAAGCAATCACTATTTCGAGGGAAGGGCGCTGATGAGCAGAAGCAGATTGCGTTGCCACTTGTACCCCCTTTTTTCTCCATCTAAAACTTGTTTGGCACCCTGTTAGGACTCGAGTATTAATAAAGGGGTAGTTCAGGACATCTAAGGCTTGGGGTCGTGCGCAAGCCAGGAGTCCGAGGAGTCGACTCAATATTCTTCAATCGTTAAATATCAGGTTGAAAGAACCTGCGTCACTTCTTTTAAAATTTGATATCCATAATCAGGATGTCAAGCTACGTCCGCGAACAAGTTTTCACCCAATTTTGTGGTATTTTGCCGCCGGCGCCTGTGGCGCGGGCCCCATGCAGTTCCTGGTCAGACGAATGTAATATTTCTGTTCAGTAGGTTGAACTACCCCTAAGGCCAAGTTTATAGACAAGTGTGTTTCTGCAGAAAAAACAGCTGAAAAACTGGCCTGATTTCGGATGATTGGGACGGTGAAGGGTGGATAGTGCAGAGTTTTCTTTTCAATACGAAATAGTGCAGAGTTTTCTTTTTAATACGAAATGTCAAGAAAGTGATCCCATTGGTGCAAGTATATTTTAAGATCTCCTTATAAGGCTTTCTTCAGGCGTGGGAGATGAAGAAGTGAAAGTGGTGGAAGCCGGTGAAGCTGAAGAAGCGGCAGTATCGGAGCCAAATGACGCTGCAAAATCCGCCAAAGAGGAAGAACCAGCTGAAAGCGCAAAGAAGAAGGAAGCAGAGAGTACTGCTGGCGCCACTGCATCTGTTTCTGAAGCGAGCATTGCTACCCGCAGTGCATTAAGAAAAGAAACGAGTACACCGAAGTTGTCGAAAAAAGTTGAAGTGAAGTCAGCAAAACGCCCACTTCGTAAATCTGAGCCAAAGAATGCTGTAAGTTCTGAATCCATTATTAGTGTGCGTTCATACTCAGCGTTGTCGTTTTGAGAGTCTGTCAGGGTTTTGGGCATCTTCGGCTTTTTGAGCTTCCGCCAGCGTTTCCAGCTGTAATCGATATATAAATTCTCACCAGGAAAGGTCAACAGGTCAGCCTGGCCATTTGCAATGAGATGCACATCGTTGTACCCGTCTTGAGACGGTGAACTCAAAACTATCTTCAAAATTTGCGGAACGATTCTCTGAGCGGAGTTAGAGAGGTTTTTCTTTACTGTTTTTCTTCTTACGGGCGCTGGCGCCGAAGCGTTGGCACATGTAGCGCGACTCACAGCGCTCTTCGCGCAAAACAGGTATCATATTCGTGTTCAGGGGGTCAAATAACCCCTAGGGACGTCACCTTAGCGAAATCTGAGGTTCTGACTCAACTTCGAAAAAAATGGGGTATGGATAGTCATGGCTGACTGATAGCCAACAGCGATACTACGACTAGCATACTGGTGATGACTGGTCTTCGAACTGAAATAACTCTTCAGTCATGTCTTTTCGCAAACAACAGTACCTGGCTTACTTATTTGTGCCGTCTGCATCATTTTCTTGACTATCGGGAGGAAATCCCATTCCGAGACCAGTCATCGATGGTAGGTGAGCTCCAATCTGCTGCTAATTACCCATGGAATAGCCCACATTTTCCAAGTGAGGTCGAAATATCAGATTCGGCTAGAAACTTGTCCCCAGGGGTAATTTAACCCGCTGA